CATCTCAATCAACAGGTAGGCATGATGGTACATGTCTGTCATCCCAAACTAGGCAGGAGGAAGCTGAGATCAGGAGGATGGCAATTCTAGGCAAGCCCAGGCAAAACATAAATAAATAAAAACAAAACAAAACAAAAAAATGGTGAGACCCCATTTCAATGAAAAAAAAAAAAACTGGGCATGGCAGTACATGCCTGTCACCCAGTGATGACGGGTAGCATAAAATAAAAAGATTGCTGTCTATGCCAGCCTGAGTAAAAAGCGAGGCCCTATCTCCAAAATAACCAGAGCAAAATGGGCTGGAGGTGTGGCTCAAGGAGTAGAGCAACTGCCTTACAAGAGTGAAGCCCTAAGTTCAAACCCCAGTGCAGCAAAAAAAAAAATACCATCAAGATTCTAACGTGAACCTCTAGCTTTATCCTTGCCCTCATACCCTACTGGGTACCTGGTAAAAAGTGGTGGCCAGGTTCTCTGTACAGTTGTAGAGTAAGTCTTCCCAGGGTAAGAGTGATTACCATCAGACACTGAAGTCAGGCAGATCTGGCATCAGTTTCTGGGTGTGCTATCATCTAGTCATATGGTCTGGACTGCTTAGATAATCTTTCTGAATCTTGTTAGCAATGATTAAACAAAGATAATAATATCCAATAAGATACATAAAGCACTTAACACGATGTCTACCAACAGTAAAATAATAATTATTAATATTACTAGATTGGGGAGGTAGCTCAGTGGTAGGGTGCTTGCCTAGCATGTGTGATGCCCTGGGCTCAATCCTCAGCACCATAACAAAAGAAAATATTATCACCTATAATATTTTATCCTTAGATTAGAAATTCAGTTATCTGTTTCATGATCCAGACCACATTTCCTGATCTTGTCCCCATGCATACCATGACTGGAGGGGTATGAAGGATTTCTCTCAACCTCTTAGTTGGGACAATGAAAAGGATTCCAAGAATTTTGGGATAAGACAGTTCTTAGGAGAAGCATTGTGGATATGGTCAGAAAACCCAAGTGTAAATCCTGCATGTCCTGCTTATCACTCCGATCCCCTTAGACAAGTTATTTAACACCCCGAGGATGTTCTCATTTGTAAAAATAATGACAAAATGATGGCAGCCAAAATTGCTCAGAGTATCTAGGCAAAGAACGTATGAAATAAGTATATAAAACTGCTTTGAAATATTGAAACTATTAATTTATTTAACATAGAGTGTCTAATGTTTATTATTATTTGCTCTGGAAGGTCCTTTAATTTTTTCAAATGATTCTTTCACTCACAAGCAATAGACTTAATAATCTTTAGTACAATTTTGATGGAAGATCATTGCAGGCCCATAATTCTAGAGTCACTATAATTTATGACTGCCTCCTTTAAAAAAAATGTATTACAGACTTTGCCCAACTCTTGCTTTATAGCACTTTCTTTTTGGGAAAATTTGTAAACGTAGTATTGTCATTGAACAAAACAAGACGCCTGTAATCGATCTGAATTGCTCAGTAGTTACAATCCACTTTACCTTATGTTGCAACTAGTTATATTTGAGGGTGGAGCATAGACACAGCATCTCTGTGAGAAAGGTAGCCTTGAATATGATGCCAGTTTGGTTCACAAAAAACTGAAAAGGCCAGAGAAAGTGTCTCAATCCTGTAATCCCTGTTACTTAGGAGGCAGAGATTAGTTTGAGGCCAGCTGGGGCAAGAAGTTAGTGAAACTTCTTCTCAACAAAAAGCTGGGTATGATGGCACACACCTGTCATCCCAGCTAGTTGGAAGGCATAAATCAGAGGATAGTGATCCAAACTTGCCAGGGCAAAAATCTGAGACTCAACCTGAAAAATAATTAAAGCAAAAAGGAATGAGGGTATGGCTTGCATGGAAGAGTGCCTGCCTGGCAAGCATGAGGCCCCAAGTTCAAATCCCAGTGCTGACAAAACATAAAATAAGAAACTAAACAAATAATTGAAAAGAAAGGAAACAATGCTAACTTTGTAGTGATGTCACAGAGGTTGAATATCATCTTGGTGATAACAATACATAACATTTATTGAGCCTATACTCGGTGCCATTATGTTATTTACAAACCATATTCAGGTAAACTATAAGAAGTAGTAGTCATCAAGATTATTTGCTATTGATTTATTTAAATTTCAATTGTGTGAGCTTTGCTGTCTTGTATTAACATTTTTCCTATCTTCTCTTTTGATCTCCTTTTCTCCTTTTCCTTGTCTTATTATATTTGAAATCTGCAGTTCTAATCTGACTTAGAACTCTGAGTTTTTCAAATTTCCATTTTATTAGCATCTTTTCCTATAGAGATTTTTGGCCCCAGGTAACAGTTATCTGAACTTCACTGCACTTAAATCATTTTAAACTTTATTTAAATTTAGTTGTAGATATCTTTAATAAACATTAATGGTTACACAATTTTGATGAAGTCATGAAAAGCAGAATCTTTATTTCAAAAGATACATAAGTATGTAAAACATAACATTGTGTTTTCTTTGTCTAAAGGGAAAGAGTAGAATGGTTTTAAAGACAGTCCCAAGAGCATTGGAAAAAAGCTCAAATGTATTATAACCTCTTGCAATAGATGATTGTTCTAAATTATTTTAACAGCCTGAGGCATTCTAACTTCCTTCTTCATGCTCTATTATACTCAAAGTGTGCTGACATGCAAAATCTCTGCAAAAAGAAGAATCTCTTTTGCTGTACTAATATTGAAATTTTCCTTCCTGGTGAAAAATGCAGCATTGATCTCATTATTGGAAGTTTTTCTCATAATGATAAAAATTGCCAACATCTTTTAAAAAAGAAATTGTATTTAAAATACATAGAACTCTTTCCTTAAGGATATGAGAAGGATAAGCACATGCCATGTGGTACATTGTAAAGATCTAGCCATGTGAACCTTGCCTTTGCACACACAGTTTATGCTCTTTCAATACAGGGAAATATTCATGATTGAACTATGACTAAATGTGGAGGTTATCTGTTGTATAATTGATTCAGAAAATTTGCTCCAATCTGAGTAAACCTTCTCTCTCATGAAAAAAATAATACATACTCTTTTCCAGAAGATAATCAGCTCCATCATTTCAAATTCTCATAATAAGCAACACTGGCCTCTGCTGGTGACCAAGGTCACAATGAGCCTCACTGGTTGCTGAAGTCATTACCTTTGTCCTGGTTGAGTTCAACTCACTTGGGGTTTTTGCTGTTATTCATTGTTTGATGATAGGAGAGCCATAAAATTATGGGGGCTCCCAGGCTAAGAGTCTCTACGTGTAGCTATGGACTTAAATGGATCAAGAACTTGCCATTTCTTCAGATCAAATAAATTCAATCATTTCTGCTTTAATACGACACTTTAAAAATAATCTTTTCTTTCAGTGACAAGGAGTTGAGAGCAAAGACAGGTGAATTTCAACTAAATTTTTAAGAGCATTGATTATGTACAGAATACAAACACATATTCCTTCAAGTTTATTTGCATCAGCTTAATTCATAAAATTAAAATTTTAGGACTATTTTATTACATGACTATTTGAAAAATGCAACCTAAATCTTAAAAGAAACTATAAATATCCTATCCAGAAAATGCTATCTATCCAGGCAGAGGTAACTACCCAGCTTTTTACATGAATTTTTCTATTTGTTCACTAATAATTCTGCAAAGAAAAATAATTTGTATTTCAATAATGTTCAGATTATTTTATTCTTCCAAGAAAATTAAAAATTGCTTTGATAATATATGCTAAGGATAGCAAATTACAAGGTGACACACTTTTTTTCTAATTAACTGGCAGTATAAGGCACACATTTTGTCATAGCCTCTGATGTGTCTTAGCCTGACCAGTGAATCAATCTCTAGAACACTTAGGCCATTTGTCTCAATGCCAACCGATGGTCAACTGTGACCAAGACTGGAGGGGCCTTTGCTCTCAGAAGTTGCCATTGAAGAACATGGACTGTATTTAAAAGATAAATAATTGAGACCAACATAGGCTAAAATACTAGCCAATATTGTAAAGAGTAATAAGTAACACAGATATGTAAACCACTATTCCTGAATTTGTCCAAAGGGACTTGGCAAATTATATCCTAAAGAATATTTCTAGATGAAATGTTGATACAAAGAAAATAGAGAAGACCTCGTGATATGGAATTTAACTGGGAGAATAAGTTCACTACATAATAGCAACAAAGAGACTTCTCAAACCAGTAAAGGGGAATGCAGTCCACTGTGATCAAGAGTGAATTTTACAGGCCTATGTAGAAGCAACAAAAACAAAACCAAAAAACCTTGGTCCTGTGGACCTCAAATGTATTTTAGATAGTGACTGTGAACATCTCATGAGTTAGTGAATATTTTATAAAATATCAGTGTTTTGTATGGAGAAGTTTGTACATTTTTTCCTCCCTCCTTCCTTCCCTCCCATCTTTTCTTTCTTCCGATTTCTTTTCTCCTTTGTTTCAGTGTGTTTGGATCTTGAAATTCCAGTGGAAAGAAATTTTACCATATTTTTGAGAACCATACACTCCAAGGTGTACAATGTGCCTGAAAATATAGAAACCATTTTAAGGAAGAATAAATACATTTTGCACACAAGTTGCCTCTCTGATATACTTTGTTTTTCAATCCCCAACTCTTTTTCTTGTCAAGATAGTGTAGCAGTGTTTGGAAAGCATTAGCTCACCAACAGATGCTCAGAATCAAATGACTTAATAGGCATAAACTTTTTTTCCCCAAATAATTGCAAAGCTTTGGTTTAGCCTTTTGCATACCTTGCATGGTTAATTACCTAGGCCTTAATGTTTACATGCAATGAGAGTATCTACAGTTATAAACTACATAATTTATAATTGATGTAAATGGGTGTTATTATGTCAATTAGGCAGCTGTGTCCTCCACCTCTTGGTAAACAGCTATGAGTGATAAACTGAGTTTGCAGAGAGGTACCTTCTTTTCTTCATAACAGATAAAAATAAATTACCTAGGCAGACCAGGTTGTCCAATTGTTCTCTGGTGAGGTGGATGGAAAATCCAGACCCTTTCTTTTGACCTGTTGACTGCAGCAAATGGTCAATTTCTTCACGCAGTGCTTCCATAGCTTCTGGGTGCCGGAGAACATAATACATTGCCCAGAACATAACTGGAATAGTGTTTGCCACAGAGGCCCAGAGAAAGCCAAAATGATGTGCTGGGAGAAAATAAGTGAAAAGGAAGATTAATAGCGTTTATTACACTGATTAGATTTGCAGTGTGCTAATTAAAAGATGTTAGGACACAGACCCAGCCAAGGATCAGTGCATGCTAATGAGAACCAATAGGCTTCTGAAGTCTAATTTTCTGCTTAATGAGAATAGTTTAAAATGTAATGTGTGTGGGGGGGGCAGGAAGGTGGGGGATGAGATAAGAGGAGTAAATGCAGCTTAGTTATACTCTTTCTCATTATCATCATTAAGTATCTTGTTTTACCACCTCAGCAAAAAAAAAAAAAAAATCAATTATCACAGGGTTGTTTCAGAGTAAAACATTTCATCATTAGCCAATTAGAAGGAGCATAAAATTTTTCAAGGTCGCCATTTTGTCTTTTTATTTCAAAGGTCTATTGTAAATTATTTTATTTTAGGCAAGTAATTATTCAAAAGTTTCTTACCTCCTATTTCAAAGTCCTCACGCACATAATATTTCTCCAGAATATCTTGCCTCCTTTGAACAACTTCTGACCATCCTTGTATCTTAGCCAATTTTTCTGATGTCAAGAATTTGATAATTTTCTCCTGCATAGACTTGACATTTCCTAGAAACTCAATGGGTATGTCAGATATTATGTATGCGAATTTGTCATCAAATTTTAAGAAATCATCTCTTAGCTCATTGATAATTTTTTTCCTGTCATCAGCAAGAACTTTTCCATACATGGTTGTAAATGTGATCTCAAATATTACTGAGCTGCAGAACTGTAACATGTAGGCCATGTTCCAATTTGTGGTTTCTAATAGTTGGTGTTCAAACACTTTTTTTACATGCTGGAGCATGTTTTCTAAGAGTATGTCCAAAGATTTGCCTTGTAAATGTTGATAAGCGACATGAAGATCATGGTTCAGGTCATCACATTCCGCCAACATCTTGATGCAGAATGCTTTTGCTGCTATTTTATTACCAATCACTTGAAAACTTAATTGTTTGTGATTTTTCAGCAGCAAATGGTACTGGAAAGGGTCCAGAAAAAATGTTATGTACTTCCCTAGAAAAAAAAGAATATGAGATCATTTGGTAGCAAAACAAAAATACATATCTGAGTTTGAAAACATCAAATAGCAAATCAAAAGTGGAAAGATTCTATTAACTAAGACACTAAGTTTAATTACAAAGAATTCATTTCATTCCAACTTTTACTACGTTTCCTTTAAATGTTGAAGGTAGTATGAAAAAACTTTAGAAACTTGAAGTTAATTTCTTGATGTTCTCAATGACCTTTTGCATGATAGTTTATGCTTTCAATTTTTAAAGTATCTTTCAAATATTTCCAAAGCCCCTCAATGTAAAGACTTGTCATTTTTCCCTAATAAAAAAACCAGAAAGCAATAAATTGGTAAGATGCCATTCCATTACTGATTATTTACAGTAGAAAAGGAGCATTTTCACATTTGATTTCATCTTAGCTTTGGACAGGACAAATATTAAACTTATTAGTTTAACTCAAAAAAATGACAATGCCTTCACAAACAAACATTGAATTACTAAATAAGCATCTAATTCAATACTAGCGACAAAAATCACAAATGCCAGCATTCTCATTTTTATAGATGAGAAAATAATGGGTCAAGGTGAGCTGGAAACATGTTCAAAGTCACAAATTGACTGTAACACACGATTCCAAACTAGAACTCATCCAGATATCCATTCATTTATGCATTTATTCAACATTTATTGAGATCCAGAGGCTTGACTGTGTTCCTCTCCTCTTGAGATATGAAGATGTAAAGAAATCATTGCGTCATGATGCACAGTGATGTGGAGATGTAAAAATACTGGGAGGGGAACAGAAAGCAGAATTTGCTGAAGCAAATTTGTTGAAGCCTGCCTCAATTTATCAGCAAGGGTTATTTGAGCTGATGACATTTATCTTTTCCATATATCAGTTTTGTCCAAACTTACCTGATTAAAAACTTGAAGCATTTGTTAAAAATAAAGACTTCTAAGGGGTAAAGAGAATTGAAGTATGCTCCATATAGGGGGAAGGAGGAATGGGGAATGGAAATATATGTATGGAAATTTAATTATCACGATGAAATCACCTCATCTTATGTATGCTAGTTCAAAACTAAAATTAAATTAAAAAATACAAATTACTGCAAGATTTTGAGTTCTAATGCTTAGAGGTGAGGCTTACAACAAGATCCTCAAGTGATTTCTGTAAGGCACCTTGAAGAACACAATGATACTATGGTCTGCTTCTCAAACCCAGCAAGGGCCTTAGAGAGATCCTAGCTTAACCCCCTGCATTTATCAGCAGAGAAAGCTGAGGAAGTCTGGACAAGAATTCCTTTGCATGCACAGTTTTCCTCACACAGCACTGTTTTCTCCTCACTTGAGTGCTTCTGTTCTAAGAGTCCTTGTAACTAGAAATATTATGTAGATAGCACTCAATAATGGCATTTGATAAGTCTTTCCTTTTCAAAAACACACATGAAGTTTAGATGATCCTAAACACTTTAATACCTAGTTAGTTATTTTCTTCACTTCATTATCTCTGTGTGTATGTGATTGAATGTAGCTTTCTTAGATGACAAACTTCCACTTGTTCTGGCATCACAAAAATTAAAGTTAATTGGATACAAGATATTTAAGATAGAATTTTGATATAATTTTTCACCAAATCCTAGAAACAGGATAAATGTTTTTGTTTTACAATTTTAAAACATAGTTTAAGTTTTGAACATACATGAGTAAAATATATGTGTTATAGATTATTTTTCTAAAAATGAATATATGGTTTGAATTTTATTCACTCCATTTTATCTTGATTCGTTTAATAAGAGATGTCAATCTAGGAGTGAAGAAAGCTTAAAGTGGTTACTCACTCTGGTCAGATACCAAAGCTGTCTTGTAAGAAATAAACTGGACCTTTTGCCTTCCTTCCTTCTTTCTTTCCTTCCTTCCTTCCTTCCTTCTTTCTTTTTTGGAAAGAAAGACAAAAAAATATATTCAGACCAGATAGCAAGAGCTACCTGCTATTGAGCCCCCTGAAGCAGAGTCTAGATATGTATTAGGGTTTTGTTTTGTCTATACTTCATTAGAAATATGCACCTTCTCTCTCTACCCCATCATCTCTGTCTCTTTCTCTCTTTCCCCGTGAGAAGAAAATCTGAGGTTCATTTAAAATAAAAGGATAAATGTTGGGTATGGAAAAATTGGTTTAGGCTAGCAACCAATTCTTAATATATTTTTTCAAAGCAGTTTTTGTACTAGGTTCTTTAAAAAATATTACTCTTAGTTTAAAGTAATTTTGAGATAAAATTCCAAATTCTCACTCTTCTACATGCTCTTTTCACTCTAGCATTTGTATTTTCTCTCTTTTTTTTATTGTTGTACTGTGTGTGGGTGCATTGTAGCATTTACAAAAGTTCTTACCATATATCAAATATATCATTTTTGCATTCACCCCTTCTACCATTTTACTTTATCCTCCCTCCCTTCATTCCTGAAATAGTTTCAACAGGTATCATTTTTCCATTTACATACATGTGTACACAGTATTTGCAGTATATTCATTCTCCCACACCCTTTCCCTAACTTCTCCCCCTGTATTTTCTCTTTCCCATCTTATTTTAATTTTCTTGCACATTAATGCACTTCATTCTACCTTCTATCTTTCTGATTGAGAAGTGGATTGCTTCAGAAGTAGAGGTTTTGATTTTCTGGATTTTACTTTTCAAGTGGGTTTGGAAGTACTAATAACCCTAGAGATGTTAGCTGGCTCTCCAACTTTTAATCTTCAGTATAAACAATTTAAGCTAAGTTTTCCAAAATTAATATTAATTTAAACCATCTGTCCACCATCTGCTAATGTGAGATGCAAAACCAGAGTTTCTTTGTGATCTTTAATCAGACAGTTAGGAAAACACATATACATTCATAAAATGAATTTAAATTTCCTAACAAAGGAAATTTTCTAAAAAGTTATTTTGAAAGCTATGCATTCTTGGTGGGAAATTAACTTTTGCTTCATTGTAATTTTATGTAAATGAATGACAAGTGTCAACAAGCGTGTCGCTGAGTTCACAAAGATCACAAGGTAGAAACAATATTCTTTGCTGTGTTTTCAAAAAAGAAGAGAATGCTGTCAGCAGTTGATATGAAATATTGACTTAAAGAATTTCAGAATTTATATTTGTCTAAAATATAAATGTGAAAAATGAGCTCATACCTGCAAAAATACAATATAAAATCACTTTTTCAAACACTAAATTTGAAAGAAGACCAAATTTTTAAATGCCTTCCTTGCCAATTATTTCATTTTTTTTCCCTGGGCTGACTGGGCATTTTAAGATACAAATTCTAGCATTCCTGTATAGCCTGCATGCTACTCTTTACTAACTCAACAGCCTTTCCTTTTCCCTCAGAATTACCTTTGGAAAGGTAAAGCTATATGATTCAAAATATATTGATAAATGTGCTTTAAAAATCTGGCTTATACACAAGAAGTTAGACATCTGGATCATTATAAATTGAATTTTGGTGTTTTCATGTCTGATATTTGGTGCCATACAGAGACACACTGCCATGGGAATTCAGGACAACCATTTGGCTACTTAGAGTAGAAATAGTCAATGTATATGAGTCAAAGTTAAACCTTAAAGATATTTTCCATAATTACAAGATTTTAATCTCTGTGTTTAGCTAGTTCTTCAGTAGATTTTGTTTTTATTCTTAAGTGGAAATTATTAGTTTGGAGAGTGAAATATCAGCCAAGTTTCTATTTTATGAGGATGACCACCTTTACATACTTCCTTCCTTATTAGGGAGATTTCGCTAGCTGTTGACAATGATGTACAGTGGAGCTTCGCTGGGGTGACATCTAGAGAAAATGATTCCGCTGCACCACCACCCAAAACCAATTAGAGAACTATTTTTTGCGACAGGTCACGAATTTATGTGGTTTCTCATGAAAAGATGTACCTTTTAATTTCTTTATTAAGATGACACTCATGTCCCTTGAGACTTTTGGGAATGACAATCATTTGCTTATCTCGCAAGAACTACATTCACTGAAATTACATTATGGGACAAGGGTGGAAGACTTTACTCTTCATTTTCAAAATGAGCTACTTGGCCAACTGATCATTAGAACCATATACACAAACGGGATTTCCTTTTTTCATGGATTCTACTGAAAATACGTTTATTATGCAGGAATCATGCACATATTTGGGGGAACATTTATAGGTACAGAGTTCAATTCCAAATTGCCATTCTACCCACACAAGCTATTTTGTACACTTAAGGCATACATCTTCAGGTTCAGCCCCACAGGAATGAGAGAAAAAATTATAGCTTTCTGAACAGAGAGCTCTAATTAAATAGAATCTGGCCCAAACAATGTATGCACAAATGAATAAATGAATAAAGAAAAAATAAATAGAATCTGGCAAACCAAGAACAAAGCCCACTATCTTCTTAATTCTTAATACACTGTGTACATATGAATGCAATCTAAAGATGTGTCATTAACAGGATTTTTTGACAGGAGTTTATTTAAACTCTAGTAAGACACGAAAGGAAAACAGTAGTAACTATTGAATTGTAGTCATCTACTCTTGAGTTAAAAAATATAACCATGGTGAAATTATATAGATATGAGAAATTCAGCAAGTCTCTCCAGATTTAAATTTGCTATTTTTTGAAAAGTAAATAAAGTTATTCATACCTTCTACAAGTTTATGCTGAATTATTTTAATTTTTATATAGTATATTAAAAACGAAAACCAGAAGTTTTTACTAATTTTTGTATCTACTCATTGGAAACAAGATTAATTTTTTTAAGTAGGAGTGCCTTTTATTTTTAAAAAGTGGAGAATATAGTTTTGCTATCATAAAGCCAAAAGCTCACTTAGAAAAGAAACACCAGCTATGTCCTTTATTTATATGATAGTAACCATCAGGTCTAAGGTATTAGAAATTTTCTCTGTTAAATATTTATTGGGAATCCATCATCACTGAGCTCTGGACTAAATGTTGGCAATAGAGGAGCTTACAAAATAATGAAGGGAGACAGACAAGTGAATTAGCAATAAATCCACAGTGTATTAAATGCACTGACAGACTGATAGAGTAATTGGACTCTGGAGAAGATGCACCGAACAGGGGATATGACCAGGAAAGGATGTGAGGAAGAAGTAAGGTGTGACTATGGCCTCCAAAGATGATTCTTTGTCAGTCAGGTAAGAACAGAGTTCTTGTAGAAAGAATAGCAAAGAAAAGCCCAGATACACAATGGTCATGGTATGTGAGAGAAAATTTCTAACAGTGTGATATATTAAACACAAGGCAAGTAGTAAGGGGTGGAGCTGGAGAGGTAGATGAAGACTGGATCATGGGAGCCTTGCGAGGATTATATTTTGTATTATAGTTCCTCTTTTTCCTAAGATGGATGATTTTTCCCATTTCCATTTTTCTGAAATTAGAACTCACGCATATATTGTTGGAAGAGACTTGCCAGCTGCCAAGCAAAAGAGTAAGCTTTGATAAAATTACTACTTCATGTTCATGGGAGAACTAACCATGTTGATGAAGTCATGTAGTTGGACCCATGCCCCCCTTTTTCTTAACCCAAATATTCCATAAAGATGGTTGCACTGAAATTAAGTCACTATATGTGCAAAAGGTTCTCTCTGACCTTTAGCAAAGTAATTACAGGAAGAAGACATTTACTGGCTCTCTAGGAATAGAACATAAAATTCCAAGGCTGGTTAGAAGAAGACATGAGAGGTACAGCTGAGAAAGAGAGTTCATGGAGGAACCAGAGGGCCAGTATTAAGATTGAGTCAAGGAGCAATAAAATGTTTCAGGAAGAAAGGAGAGATCAGCAAGAAGCCAGATAGTAAAGGCTATTCAGGTGAATGCAAGAATGACCCCTGCAGGGTCGAAGGTTGCTTATGATTAGGAAGGCTTCAGGAAAGAAGCTACTACTAGAGACAGCAAATGCCATGCTCTCTTGAACTATCTAGATACAGAAGAGAGGGAGAAATAATGAAAATAGCTAAAAGAAGAAACTAGGAGAAGATTAAGCATGATAACAACCTTGGGATAAAGACCTCAAAGAGAAAAAAGTAGAAATAGGTGTGTAAAAGGAATGAATAATGATGCAGCCAGAAGAAACATCCATGGGGCAGGTAAATGGATTGTCTCAAAGATTCTCTGAAATTGGAGAAAAAGTGGTAAGGATAGTTGTGAACTGTAGGTATATAATGGGGAGCTGAGACAGAATATACCAGATGTTATCAATTATCTAATGAAGGAAAAGAATAAGAGTAAACAGTTTTACAAGAGCAAGTATGAGCTGGGGGTCTGGAATGCCTCTCTCTGCCCTCTCATTGGTAACACCCAAAAAAAGTTATAGGACAAAGGAATGTGAGTAAGCTAGTCTGCAAAGATCAAACTTTGGGATATTAATTTAAATTTGATTTTACATTAAAGAAAGAAATAGCTAATTCAGGTGATAAATTTGTGTGAAAAGTTTGTGTGCAAACATGGCCACAAGTAATTCCTTATGTTCCTCTATGTGAGCTCTTCTGCACTGGGCCCGGCCATTCCTCCAAGAAGAGGTGGAGTCCATTTCTCTGCCCTTGAATTTGGGCTGTACCAGGACTTTTCTCTAATTGAATGTGATGGAAGTAAGATTTTGCAACATCTGAGCCTAGGTCTCAAGAAGCCTCACAGCTTCTTCTAATTGCAGTTTTGAAATACCAACTTCCAGGTAAGGGTGTTTTTTGAAGATGAAAAAAACACAAGACAAGGAAGCCCAGCTAGTTTGTGAAGTGGCCATTTTGGACCCTCCACCTCCAATCCAGCAGCTGGATGATGTAAACCATACAAGGGACTCAGGCAAGGTCAGTGGTTGTTTTAAACCACTGCATTTGGGAGAGATGTTGTACTGCAATAGGGGGTTGATATAGCTGGGGAACTTGGACCTCAAAAGAGGAAGAGCTAATATGTTTTAGATTCTTTTCCCACCCCTAAAATGTTTGGGGTATTTAATAATCTTGCTGTTTGTTTTGGCAAACATTTTTATTGAAGTTTTAAACACAATGAATGTTTTAAAATGAAAAACTACATTCTAGATCAGTGTTTACTAGGGACCCAGGGGCAAAGGAAGAAGAATGAATATGTGAAGCCCTGAGATTTTTAAGGTAATGAAACTGTTCTTATTCTTTGTGGTACTGTATGATAGATATATGACATTATGCACTTGTGAAAAGCCAAAGAATAACACAAAAAGTACACTCTAATGTGAATCATGGATATTAAATAATATGTCAATATTGGCACATCAGTTTATAATGAATGTGTTATGCTGATATGAGACATTAACAATTGAGGAAGCTGTGATAAGGGAGAGAATGATTATGTGAGAATCCTCTGAGCTATCTGCTAAATTTTCTGTAAAATTAAAAAATAGTTTCTAGCTCTCTATTAAAAAAATATTTTCTTAAATCAAAACAAAATGACATGGGGTGGCAGGAAAAATAAGATTCTCTAGGTGGTGTCAAGAGGGTAATATAATTTGGTTTTTTAATATGATGACCACTGTACTCAAAAAGGTGCTATTATTTCTCATTAGCTCTACAAATAAAACAATGTTATACAAGCATTTCTCATTTTGTATACAGAAAAAATAAAGACATTAAAGAACAAGTGAGAATTATGACATATTTAGGGTACTTAAATACTTCTTACCCCCAAGCTGAAGAGTGAAGATGTCACCATATTGCTTTTGAAGAGTTTTCATGAAGCCTAATGGATCTTTTTGGAATTCCAGGGCCACTCCAAGATAAGGAAGCCAGCCTTTTATCAATGGAGGCTCACCAGGTTGCCTATAAATAGAAAAAGAGAAAAATTAAATCATTCTTATTTAAATATATATGGGTTATTGATCTAGCCTATAAGTGAATTGCATGAATCACACAGCTCTTTCAAGTCTCTTATTCAATGATTGTTACACAACCAATCATAACCATGTATTTATTAAACTCCTCCAACATGTGTGGCTCTGGAGTAGGCTGCTTTATTTATTTCATGTTTAATTTCCCATTATCATATGTAGACACCTGGAGACCTGAAGAGTCTGAGACTACAGAGATCTAGGAAACTAAATTAAATGTTTGACATCTACAAAATTGTCAGTTTAGTGTAATGCTGATAAAAAAAAAGTTCAGCTGCCTGGTTTTTTTGGTCTTTGACAAGTCATTTCATAAGTGCTGCCTGCTAAGTTTAGTCAGTAAGACCAAAATTTAGTTTTGACTAACATTTGTGGTTCCTACTATGTGCCTGCTAAAGTGCTATCAGCTAGGTCTAACCAAAGATCTGGTTAAACTGCTTGTTGAAAATCATCTAAACAACATATTTTGATTTATTGATTACTTTGTTTTACCTTAGCATGGTGTGTTTATATGTGTAGACCCAATCAAACTAACTCCATCTCATTTTAAACCCTCACCCATACATAGACATTTTAGGTCTTTCCACAAATATAGGATGTGAGTTATTTTAATCTTAAGAAATCTTTGATTATGTTCTTTTACATTAAAGCTCTAGGGGATGCATTATGGGATGTGCAGTACTTAAGTGTACTTATTAACACACTAATGAAAGTCTGCTCTTTAGCAATAAATTATATTAAACAACTTATTGTGTATGTTTCAATGATTTGATCTATCATAGATCTAGATGGGACCTTGGGGGCTTTAGTGTACTCTTATTTTAATAGGTAAGGAATCTCAGGTCTGATAACAAATTTACCTAAAGTCATGAAACTAGTGAAGGGCAAGCTCCACACCAGGATGTAAGTCGTGGAGCCTAAAACCTATGATCTGAAACCCCCTAGGATGACTAGTCAGTCAATCCGTGGACCTGGTAGAAAACTCCATCAAAGCAGCTCACTGCCTGAACTGACAGACACATTCAGTAAACACCATGCCCATATGAATCTCAGAGCTCTTGCTGTGCTCTGGGTGTTAGATGTCTGATCATTTAGTTGCCAAAGGAAAGCTCTTTGTTACCAGATGTCAATTAGACTGCAATTTCATAATCAGAAAAAGGATGATTAATACTCTTGAAAAATGTTGCATGCTACTGAGAACAACAAAAACCTCATAGTGTTGGAGATGTAGCTCAGTGATATTAGCATGCATGAAACTTTGGGTTTAATCCCCAGCACAAAGATCAGAGAGAGAGAGAGAGACAAAGACAAAAAAAATGACACAGAGAGAAAAGGCCTCAACATTATTGCTATGAGGATTATATTTTGATATATTTTTATGAAGTTTTTTATTGAAACCAAAATGAATAGGATTATTTGTTAAATTTTACTATTAATGTAACTTTTAAAACATATGAAGCATTCCTTAAAATGCTATGAATTGAAGAACAAGTTTCTTCTTTGAAGTACAAACCTATACTTCAAAAACTTTCCTAGTTACTTATTTTGTGAACTTAATCTGATTTAAAGTAGAAAACAGAAAACAAAACAAGTCATTTTTACCCTGGAAAGGATCAAAATAAACATTCAAAAGAAATTTGATTGTCTAGGCCATCTGTGAGATGACTTATACTATACACAATCCATTTTGATTAATCACAAGATATCTAGTTCAGATCTAATCAAAGATCAAGATTATGATCACCCCAGCATGGATTTTTACATAGCTAGATTAACCCTATCAGAAGCTTTTATTTTCCCACAACCCCACATGGTAGAATTAAACATAACAAACATCAGATCTTCTGGAGGGGGTTAGAATTCAAATAAAATCAATCAGAGTTGTGATAGAAGCCAGGGAAAAAAATAGGCGCTGGTGGCTTACACCTGTAATCCTAGCTACTCAGGAGGCAGTGATCAGGAGAATCGTAGTTCAAAGCCAGACCCAGGCAAATAGTTCACAAGACCTTATCTCGAAAAACCCCTTCACAAAAAAGGGCTGGTGGAGTGACTCAAGGTGTAGGCCCTGAGTTCAAACCCCAGTACCACTCAACAACAAAAAAGAAGCCAGGAAAAGATTTGCTTTCTCTTTCTCTCTCTCTCTCTCTCTTTTTTTTTTTTGTTACAGTACTGGATTTGAACTCAGTTCCTACACCTTGAGCCACTCCACTAGCCCATCCACCCTTTTTTTTTTTGTGGTAGCTTTTTTTGAGATAAGGTCTCACAAACTATTTCCCCATGCTGGCTTCAAACTGCAATCCTCCTGATCTCTGCCTCCTGAGCAGTTTAGGATTATAGGTGTGAGCCACCAGCGCCTGGCCTTGCTTTCTTTTTAGAAGAAAATTTATCATAAGGCTAATGTATTAATTATGTGCTAGTGTTTAAATAATAGAAATAGGAAAATTTCTAGGAAAATAATTAGAAATAGGAAAATAAGTCCTGCATAGACATGTGGATCTTATTTTTCACATTTTTTCCCTATTTTCTATGTTTTAATTTTATCCTTTCAGACAGGGTATCTCTATGTAGCTCAAGCTTTCATGAAACTCTGTATATAACCCAGACTGGCCTTGAACTCCAGATCAACGTGCCTCCACCTCCCATGTGCTGGTATTACAGGCATGAACTACCAAGCCTGACCATCTTATTATTGTGGTGAATGTAGTGTTTAGCAATGAAGACTTTGGTTTTTTTTGGGGGGGGGCGGAGGATATAAAAAAACATTGCAGTAGCTGATTTTATAGCCAAAGGTTAAATAAGAAGACATTGCACATATTATTGAAGAGCAGGATCCACAAGCTGGAAAACTCTCATAGCCCACATACTATATGTCCATGACCCTTTTGAATTTGTAAGTGGTCTAGTTCACAAAATTTCTTTTCAAAACATTAATTCTTTTCCTTGGTGCACTTTTACATGTATACTTTAGTGTTACTTGAATGTTGTTCTGTGACAAAGATTTAGAAAGACTTTTTGTCATATTCTAATTTAATACAACTAATGTCATCTTCTATACAATCAAAAGATATATTCATTGTAGGACTTCCACAGGGAAAGAGATTGGCACTCAGAAATCAAGGAAAATTTTAGCATTCATTAGGGAAGTACATTAGGAAGCCATTTTATTGTTACAAAGATGAGAGGATCACCATTTATTACTGCTGTGTTTATTTTGGCAACAGTAATCTTAAGACTGTTAAACACCATGTCACAACTGTGCAGTTTCGTGGAAAAATATAGTGCTAGTTCAACTATGACCCATCAAAGACAGATAACAGAAATCTGTCATTAGTACATTTATAAAAATTATTTAAAGAAGAAAAGCATTACCATAATGACTCAAAAATGCCTGTTAAACATAACAGCACAAATACTGATATTTTTCTCTCTCATGCTCTATGAATTTGACAATGAACTACTCATTGCTCCCACTGCTGAATGAGGACATAGGATGCTTGGTGTTTGTTGGGGGTAATCAAATTCCAAAGCTTTAAAAAAATAGATCCCGTTATGATGGATAGTTAGATCCATGCTCCATTCCCCCATCTTAATCTCATTGAAACAATAGACACTTCCTCACATTTCCTCATTTTTGTTTAAGGGACTAGAAGATGCATTAAAGAAATAGGGCTTACAAGCGTTCTCAAAGATTAAATCTGAGTTTCATGCATACACCATTGCATCAGTACTTGCAATTTCTTCCACAGACATTATAGGACATATCTTAAAGTCTATGCAAAATGTCAAGTACAGTCCAAATTTATCTGGAAGTAAATTTAGGAGAAGAATCCAAATATGTAGAAAGGTTATAAAATATAAAAAATGTTTAAGATATGCCCCTTCGGTTAAAAAGAAGCATGCTAGAAAGAGTGGACCAACACTGAATACGTAGTTTCTCATAATATTTGAAGTTCATCTTTATGCTACACTTGTGGTTAAATGGGAGGTTAAAAAACTTGGTTAGTGACTACTGCACATTGTTCATCTAAACATTTAAAGATCCACTCTTTTCATGATAATCTGTACTTGTCAAAGGAATTTCTTCTTTTTTTTTTCTTCCTGGAATCATTCCAGGATATCTGTGTAGGTTATTTCAACAACCTCCTATGTAAGTGGTGAGCCTTTATACATGCCCACCAATAAAATTATGTGATGAATAAAAATCTTTAAAGACACCCTCAGTTAAACACTGCCTTAATTCTATTTTTTCAACTGTCATGATAGAGGCTTCTGTGGGTAGCATACTTTCACTGAGACATTTGAGATGAAAAGGCCAGGTGACTCTCATGCCAGCAAACAACTTGTCATGTTGAAGACTGGTCAGTTCTGCTTCTATAAACAATGTGAGTCCCATGACTTCTTCCTCAGAGTCCTAGCTTACCATGATACAGCCTCACTATTTTGTTTCCTGTCTTTTTTCTTCCTTTCTCCTTTCTTTTTCTGCTTAATTCCTCCAAATCTAAAATCCTGTTCACTTCTTATGTACAGCAATCTCATGATCTCTTAGGCCAGGTCCTTATCACAATAACTAAAAACACCAAGTAAAACTATGCCTCTAAACCATTATAATTCTTTCACTAAAGTCAGCTCTTTGCATAGTGTCTTTTTGCCTCCTCAACTTCATGCGTGTCTGAGCACTTAATAATTTAGTTGAGCCAGTGATTCACAGGATGGGAAGGTCCTTCAAACCCAGGCATATTCGTGAAAGGTGCAATTAAACAGGGAGGTTTGATAGCTGGGAGTTCAGACAGTGAATGGGTGAGACCAACCCTGCTCTGTGTACCAGCTATCTCAGTCTGATATACCTCAAAGGTTGATATATTAGTTTCATATACAGGTGAAGAAACTGAACATTCACATACACAGTGTATTAAATTTAAAATTTCTCAAT